CTTGTTTCAAGCGCATCTGCTTGAAACAAAACATAAGCTTCTGGCACCTACCCCTGCAGCCTTCCAGTAGCTTATGGCACAGATTCTGAAGGGGTGTTTTGGGGTTTTGTTTTACATAGCAATATTATTGTGTTCGGCTGCACCAAACAAGAGCACTTAATCAATTTAGCCACTGTTCACCGCATTAAGGCCGCTGGATTCGAGCTCAACCGCAAGTGTAGCTTTTGTGTCAATGAATGGACCTTCGTGGGCTAAGGTCAAAACTTAAGGCATTTCACCACTGCCTGAAAAAGTGGAACTATCTTGCATTCCCGCGCTCTCACAGATGCTGCTGATCTGCTTTTGTTTCTCTGCTTAGTTGAGTACTATGCCAAGTTTGTTTCCTGCCTTCCTGATGTCGTGGATCTAATGCGTGCACTGCTATGCAAGAGTCAAGTCTTTACGTAGAGTGATGTCATTGATGCTACTTTCCAGAAGGTCAAGTTTTTGCTTCTATCCAGCAGAGTACTTCAGATATTTGATCACACTCTTCTGGTGGTTGTCGACGCAAATGCGTTTGACTGCGACCTTGGGGCTAATCTTAAACAAGTGGATGGGCACCAGCTACAAACAGTGGCCTCTGTATCGCGCACTTTGTTATCAGCAGAAAGGATGTATGCACTTGATGAACGGGAAGCAATTGCCTGCGTCTGGGCCTGCGAGCGTTAGCACACATAGCTTTGGGGACTGCGCTTCACACTTTGTACAGACCACCAAGCCTTCGTCACCCTTTTTGTCATCTCAGGGCTCAAGAAGACATCCCTCTTGCATTGTATGCCGGTGAGAACGCCTTATGTGCTATAATTATATGGTGGAGTGCTGCCAACGCTCGGAAAATCAGGAGTTTGATACAGCTTTGTGCCTGCCAGGAGTGTGATACAGCTTCGTGGCGGCCAGTCTCTGTTGCTGGTTACGAATTTGATCAACGAACATCGCCACCTATTCCGCGGCACTTCGTTAGCATTTGCAGACGAAATAGCAAACGTTCGAAACTGCTTCACATCTGAAGTAGCGGAGACAGCAGACTGGGCACCGTCGATATAAATGCTGAACTATCTCCTGATGTCCAAACAGCATTGCCGTAGCTATTGTTTGCATTCTAGTTGTGTTTCACCAGTTCTTCGAGGCTATATCAGACTTCCATCGCCAGGCACAGGATCATCACTTACGACAACGCACGCCCTATACACCAGCAGCCTTACCGTGTGTCAACAAAAGAATGTGAAGCAATTTGTACGCAAGTTCGAGAAATGCTAGACGACGGCATTATTCAACCTTCACATAGCGCGTGGTCATCTCTGATCGTTCTGGTTTAAAAAAAAAAAAGATGAAGCGCTGCTCTTTTGCGTAGACTACCTTAAGATGAACAACATGACTAAAAAAAGACATCTACCCGCTGCCACACATCGACGACTCATTAGATCGGCTACGCTGCAACCAGTATTTTTCGTCCCTGGATTTAAAAAGTGAGTATTGGCAGATTCAGGTAGATGAGCAAGACCGCGAGAAAACAACCTTTGTGACCCCTGACAGCCATTGTGAATTCTAAGTTCTTCCTTTTGGTTTGCGTTCAGCCCCGGCAACCTTTTAGCACATGATGGACACTGTACTCACTGGGTTAAAGTAGCAGACTTGTCTCGTTTACCTTGATGATGTAGTCACCTTCTCTCGCACTTTTGAGCAACATCTGCACCACCTGCAAAGTGTGATTAAAGCTATTTGATCAGGGGATCTAACTCTAAAACCAGAAAAGTGTTACTTCGGTTACAAAGAGCTGAAGTTTCTCAGCCATGTTTTGAGCTCCAGAGGGGTCCATCCCGATCCTGACAAGCTTGCCACTGTCGCTGCATTTTCATTTCCTACTGATAAAAAAGCTGACCAGCACTTTCTAGGCTTGTGCACCTATTATGGATGATATATTCAAGACTTTTCAAATATCACGGAACCCTTGACTTGGCTTACGAGAGACGACACATTGTTTGCTTGGGCTACTGAGCAGCAGGCTGATTTTGCTGAATTAAGACTGTGCATGCAGTCAGCCCCAGTTCTTGCACATTTTGACGGCAATGCTGACATAGAGGTGCATAGTGACGCCAGTAACATTGGCCTCGGCGCAGTGCTTGTCCAGGATCAACACGTAGAAGAACGAGTAATAGCCCATGCCAGCTGCTCACTGCCTCGTGCCAAAGCAAATTACTCTACCGCAGAGAAAGAATGCCTCGCAGTCATATGGGCAATCGCCAAGTTTCACCATTGCCTCCGTGGTCATCCATTCAAAGTGGTGACGGACCATCATGCCCTGTGTTGGATGGTGAACATACATAATCCCTCAGTCCGACTTGGCCAGCGAAGCGTGCAGCTACAGGAATTCAATGTAACCATCGCCTACTAGTCTGGCCGAAGGCACGAAGATGTCGACACATTTTTCACGTGTGCCAATTCATTACGTTAGTCAGGAAGCAGGAGACGACGATGGTTTTAGAGGATCGATTATTTAGAGGGTCGCACGGCGATTATACCATGCCAAATATCCCACGTGTTGACTTCTTTGTGCCTTCAAGATAACGTCCTGTATAAGAAGAACACCCGTTCTTCAAGCTGCACCTACCTCCTCAAAGTTTCGAGGAATATAGGAACGAGGTCGTCTTCACTGACTATGATGAGCCGACATCTGACCACCTTGGCTTCTCACGAACACTCGCCAGAGTACGTGAGGTGTATTATTGGCCCGGGCTTTCGACAAGCGTCAAGCAGTAGGCAAAGGGCTTGTCGGGAATGCCAGTGCTGGAAGACATCATCCGGTAAGCCGGCAGGGCTTCTCCAACCGATTGACCCACCTCGCAAGCCTTTTGATTAAGTCGGCATAGATATCACAGCCCTTTTCATCTGTGAACAGATGGTAACAAATAGGAATCGTCGCAACTGACTATTTGACATGCTACGCCGAAATGGAGGCGATGCCATGAGGTTGCGCAGTTCTTCATGTCTCAAAAGCTACGGCGTCACGGCACTCTCTCTTTGTAGTAATAACAGACAAAGGTACAGCGTTCACTGCCCAGCTTGTGAATTAAATTTTTCAGCTGAGCAACACCAGGTATCGAAAGATGACTGCTTACCATCCCGAGACCAATGGATTTACCGAAAGACTAAACAAGGCAGTCACAGACTTCAACATAAAACACGGGATCAGATCCTGCCATATGTGACGTTCTCATATGACACCGCCTTTCAAGAGACAACGCAATTCACACCGTTCTGCCTTCTCTACAGCCGCAAAGTTCAGACAATGTTAGACACTATGATTCCTTGTGAACACTGTTGAGCTAACAACTGACGCTGAAGAATTTGCAGCACGTGCCAGGGAGGCTCAAGCTCGCCAGCTCACGCAGCAGCACATCGGTCGACAACACCAGCATATGCATGGAGCTATAACACCCACCACAGAGAGATGTCCTACTGCCCAGAAGACCAAGTTTGAGTCTGGAACCCTGTTCATCACCGCGGTCTCTCTGAAAAATTGCTTAGTCTGTACTGGGGCTATAAAGTGCTGGGCCTAACTTACGAAGTGGTTCTGGACTTTGTGTCGCCAACGGGAACACAAAGAAAACAACCGAGCTCCGACATTGTTCATTTCATGCACATGAAGCCCCATTTTGTGCATTTATAATGGCTCATTCGTTTCTTTTTCTTTTATTTGTGTTAGTGACATCGCCTCACCATTATTTGATTCAGTGTGTGGGATATTTTGCTATTCTTGTACCTTTGCTTTGTCTAAGCCGTGTAATGTCTATCTTGTTTTTTTTCCTCACACCTTTTTTGAGCATTGAGATGCTGCCCTATTTTGTGAAGGAGGGAATAATGCCACCTGTAGTAGTGGTTCAAATGCATGGCTTGTGGCAAATGTTGCGAGATAAAGAAATGCGCACACTGTCCTCTTCAGGAACGAGCTCAACCGACGCGTTTTGTTAAAAGCCCTGCTGCTCTACGATGAATAAACTTTGCATGGACCTCCGTGGTGACGTGACAATGTGTGTAGGGACCAACAGGCAGGGTTTACTTCTGAAACATATGCGCTAAATATTCGCTCATGACATATTTACATTTATATTCTGATGATTCTATGTAATGTAAGGCAAGAACCCTCTGCACGCTCCAATCACTTGCACCTAAAAAAATACGGCTCCTCATTGTGGAAGACATACCGAGAATCGTCACATAGGCAAAGTGGCTTTGGTTGATTGAGGAATGCTTCGCATTTAAAAAGAAATAAACTGGCATGGCTGTGTGGTAAAGTACGACTGCCATGCAAAATGTCCCATTTGGTATTTTAGCTCTTATCCCGTTTTTTATTAATTGCATTCACTCGTATTTTATTCGCATTTCATTCATTCGTATATGAAAAATGGCACTGAATTTTTTGCGACGCAGGCCCTTTGATGCTGCCGCATCAGCATGTGCAGCTTTGGGAAACATTTTCATGCAGCTACTTGTCAAACCAAAGGGGCATTTTTCTTTTTCAAGCCTGTTAACATGGTTTCAGCACATCAGCTCTCATTCTTGTTAAGCATGTCTGTACAAGATTTTAAAGCATAAAAAAAAAGAAACTCAATGTGAAAGCAGTCTGATAACTTTGTTGCGATGGTGGTGGGGCAGCTGTTCACATGATTACAGGTTTAGTGCGTGGAGTGAAACCCAAGGTGAACACATTATAAAACATGTGATAAAACCGTCTTGTTACGTTACTACTTACCCTAATATTTTGTGTACCTGAAAGCACTAGATTAACACCTTGCTTAGTGAAAAAAAAAAATCAATTTTTAAGCACCTGAACGGTTTCTGCAACGGCTTTTGTCATCATCATCAACGGAGAGGGTGGGAGTACTCTTTTATGCTAATGTGAGACTGTGAAATGTACCGCAAACAGCAGATGATTGCAATGAATACTTTTTCTTGTGCCCTAGGACACTACCAGGGAGCTGCACAGCTGCAAGGTGTGTGTACCGCTTTTTCTCATTTGTGTTGTGCACAAGTCAGCATGCCCCTGTGAAGTTCTCCTTAGCATCTGCAGAGTTAAAGAGCATATGCAGGGCTTGTGCATGCTGATCTTGTGTCTGTGAGTGTTCTCGTGTCCATGTCTTTTGTGCTCTTCAACTAAGCAGACGTCGCACCAAGTTGCCCAAACCAAGGCATTCCTCTTAGTAGCTATTTGTATTCCATGTTACTTGACATCACAATCGAAAGCCAGGATTCCGGCTCACGACCACGTGCCGCATGAAGTTAAACCTTTCCCCCCGTTTGCTCTTTTCTCCTCCCACCACGACGCTGACGAGTTCTCTACGGAAATGGCTTCGCTCTTCAACCTGTTCTCGCTCGCCCCTTATTGCAGGAACCAAAAATTAGCGCCTCGCTGCCAGCTCATTCTTACTCACACCTGTTAAGAGCCGGCCGGTGTAGAGTACGCAAACATGTTACGAACCGGCCATGAACTGTTTTTCAGACTAAGGACTTCTGTCTTTCTTTTAACTCGGTTGAATTCGAGTCCTCACAGTTTTAATATATAGTCATAGATAATTTATATATGGAGAAGCTACGACCAACTGCATTACATTCTTTAGTTTTTTTTTTCGTCGTATCTAGGTAATCTATTGTATTCGTAATATCAGGTTTAATACTTAATTTGTGGCTAAGCCATATCCTTTTCCGACCCAAATATTTTGTAGGGCAGAACAAAGTTTTTTAATCTTCATTTTTAGCTAATAAGCTATTGAAAAGCATGCCAAAAATTAAGAAAGGTGTTAGTACAACGATTTTCACACGAGAACCATGTCCACTATACTGGACACTGGGATTCATTTGTTGAACATATATGTACACACATTCTGCTATTCTCTTCGAAAGAGCACTGCTTTTGAGGTTAATAGTCTTATAAAACACAAGCGGGGTTTCTTTTGACCCTCGAAAACGTTTCTCATGGGTGGCTGTAGCACATAGCATTCAGCACCACAAAGGAAACAATACGTAGAAAAGAACGTGCCTATGTTGTCCACAATTCAACTTCATCAGACGCTGATCCCCCTTGTGCTTTATGGTGTTGATTGATTCCCAGCATGCCGCAGTTTCATTTTTCTATGACTGGGCTTGAAGAGTGTCGCGTCAAGCCATCTCTTGTTTTTTGTTTTCCTTCTATATTGAGCACGATGTGCACTACCGTATTTACTCGCATAATCCTCGCACTCGCATAATTCTCGCACCCCACACATCGCCCAAGAAAAATACGAAAAAATTTTTTCCTCCAGTAATTATCGCACCCCCGAAAACTGCCGCAATAATGTCGTCTGCTCGTTCCAGCCACTGATGATGATAGCGCGCCCTATTTGGCGCCATCTCTTAATCGTCAAGCGTACTATTGCACGGTGATTCAATCCAATCCAAGCCAAGCCAAAGTGGTCAGTGTGCGCTGCGGCGTGTTTTGTATGTTGTGTTGGTTATCTTGAAACGTTATGGGGCGATACTGAAGCCACACGGCTGCTTCAAGTTGCAAGTGATAGATCGTACGCTAAACAACGGCAACAAGGCCGCCGGTAGGCCCTTCGGAGCCTACGAGTTTTGTGTTCGCTACTGGTGACGGCAGGTGAAAGCCACCAAAACGCGTTGGGCCTGCCGTGTGCCTAAAACTGGGATTGATGGTAAACTTCATTTTTCAGAAGGAAACTGCGGACGATTCTTTTAAATAGCCATCAGCCCAATACTGACTCCCTACGCTTACCTTTTGAGGGCTCCTGTTGAGCGCCGACCGCTACCGCTACGCCCGCAATGCCCACAAGCTTCGCGTATGGTATTCTAATGCTCGACTATTTGCTTCCACTTTTTATGTCTCAAATAAATCTTGCCTTGTGTGGAACCTCTGCTTTTATTGTTGAGGTAAGTTCTAATTAGTACTTTGTAAAGCGTGCTGTAAGTTGCTAGTGTGAGAATCCCGATTTGCGGCCACTTCGTTTTTTTTTTTTTTTTTCGCTCTTTGCATTTTTGTGGAAAGTTTTCCCCGCGTAATTCTCGCACCCCCCAACTATGCATCAGGTTTCCGGCAAAAAATGTGCGAAGATTATGCGAGTAAATACGGTAATCGCATCTTGGTGTCGAGTGTACTGAACATAAGTGATTCTCGCATTATTAGGAAAGTTTTGATTACAAAGGCTCCTATTTTTGCAACAATGTATCGAAAAGGCATAACAGAGCTTGTACAATTTAAATGATTTCAATGGTGCAAAGATATCTCCTGAAGTACTTTTGTATACTTGACTGCATCGTGCACACGCATTTTCACGTGGATTACGCACTTACTTCTGGTGCCCAATAAGTAGATGGGGCTGAAGGATGAGCTATACTTAAGAACATGTTACTCGACTCTTAAGCTACCAAAGTGGTTTCAGTTCCGACTGTAGCTCTGCTTACTTTTCTGTATCACTTTTTTGTCATGTTTTTGTCAACACTAAGTATATGTACCACCCTGCTGAAATCCCCAAATGGTGATTGCAGTAACTGTAAATAAATAGTAATAATAAATAAATAGTAATAATAAATAATGTGTTCAATACGCTAGACATGGGGTAGGAAAGGAATATGCTTGGCAACCACATAGTAAATGCTCCGATATTGTACTGTCCAGTTATCTCTTGCGGAGGCTATTTAGCTTTCTTATTTCTTCGTAGCACCTATTCTTTGTGTCAATGTATACACAAGAAGCTAAGTATAGTTCCATAGAAAAAAAAAAAACACCAGACGCTCGGGACTGACAGCACAGTTACAGTGTACGCTGAAGGAGCGGTTTTTGTAGACCTTTTTGTAATTTAGTGTTAGCATCTCATTTGCTGGCATCTCATAGCAAGCGTCTTATTTTATAAAGTATACCCAGCATATTTCCATAAACTGCACACTTCAAACAACGGCTGCTTCAAGGGACAGCGTGCCCCTGATTGTTTTTGCACTACTCATCATCATCATCATCAGCCTGACTACGTCCACTGCAGGACAAAGGCCTCTCCCATGTTCCGCCAGTTAACCCGGTCCTGTGCTTGCTGCTGCCAATTTATACCTGCAAACTTCTTAATCTCATCTGCCCACCTAACCTTCTGTCTCCCCCCTAACCCGCTTCCCTTCTCTGGGAATCCAGTCAGTTACCCTTAATGACCAGCGGTTATCCTGTCTACGCGCTACATGCCCTGCCCATGTCCATTTCTTCATCTTGATTTCAGCTATGATATCCTTAACCCCCGTTTGTTCCCTAATCCACTCTGCTCTCTTCTTGTCTCTTAAGGTTACACCTACCATTTTTCTTTCCATTGCTCGCTGCGTCGTCCTCAATTTAAGCTGAACCCTCTTTGTAAGTCTCCAGGTTTCTGCTCCGTAGCTAAGTACCGGCAAGATACAGCTGTTATATACCTTCCTCTTGAGGGATAGTGGCAATCTACCTGTCATAATTTGAGAGTGCTTGCCGAATGTGCTCCACCCCATTCTTATTCTTCTAGTTACTTCAATCTCGTGGTTCGGCTCTGCGGTTATTACCTGCCCTAAGTAGACATAGTCTTTTACAACTTCAAGTGCACTATTACCTATCTCGAAGCGCTGCTCCTTGCCGAGGTTGTTGTACATTACTTTCGTTTTCTGCAGATTAATTTTAAGACCCACCTTTCTGCTCTCCTTGTCTAACTCCGTAATCATGAGTTGCAATTCGTCCCCCGAGTTACTCAGCAATGCAATGTCATCGGCGAAGCGCAGGTTACTAAGGTATTCTCCATTGACTCTTATCCCTAACTGCTCCCATTCTAGGCTTCTGAAAACCTCGTGTAAGCACGCGGTAAATAGCATTGGGGAAATTGTGTCCCCCTGCCTTACACCCTTCTTGATTGGTATTCTGTTGCTTTCTTTATGAAGCACTATGGTAGCAGTTGATCCCCTGTAGATTTCTTCCAGAATGTTTATATATACTTCATCTACGCCCTGATTCCGCAGTGTTTGCATGACGGCTGATATTTCTACTGAATCAAACGCCTTCTCGTAATCTATGAAGGCTATGTATAGTGGTTGGTTATACTCTGAGCATTTCTCTATTACCTGATTGATAGTATGAATGTGGTCAATTGTTGAGTAGCCTGTTCGAAATCCTGCTTGTTCCTTTGGTTGATTGAATTCTAATGTTTTCTTTACTCTGTTAGCAATTACCTTTGTAAATAGCTTGTATACTACAGAGAGCAAGCTGATCGGCCTGTAGTTCTTGAAGTCCTTGTCGTCTCCTTTCTTATGTATTAAGATGATGTTAGCGTTCTTCCAAGACTCTGGTACCCTTCCCGTCAGGAGACACCTCGTAAACAGGGTGGCTAGTTTTTCTAACACAATCTGTCCTCCATCTTTCAGCAAATCTGATGTTACCTGATCCTCACCAGCAGCTTTGCCCCTTTGCATGCTCTCCAAAGCTTTTCTGACTTCTTCTATCATTACTGGTGGGGTGTAATTTGGGTTACTGCTAGTTCTTATAGTATTAAGGTCGTGGTTGTCTCGGCTACTGTACAGATCTCTGTAAAACTCCTCCGCTATTTTAACTATCCTGTCCATATTGGTAGTTATTTTGCCTTCTTTGTCCCTTAGTGCATACATCCGACTTTTGCCTATCCCAAGTTTCCTCTTCAATGCTTTGACACTTCCTCCGTTTTTCAGAGCGTGTTCAATTCTCTCCATGTTATACCTTCATTCTCTCCATGTTATACCTTCACTACTTTGCACTACTACTTGACAGCATTTAATTAACGAGCTTTGCAACTCCAGATTATGCAGCATCGCGTGTTTGACAAAAGATTTGCTACACCTGGAACTATTGTGCCTTTATCTATGTTTTTGGCACATTTCAATCGCAGTCGAAACCCGCAATAATGAAACCCCGTGAGTACAAAATTCCCGCGACAACGAAATACTTCCGGATCCCCGGCGAACATTCATA